CAAATGTGCCAACTAATGGGTCATCTGGATGAAGCCGTCAGGCATTGCCTGGAGCTGGAACAACGCGTCGAAATTGGGCAAAGCGCAGCAAACTGTGCTTACATGCTGCACGCTGAGGTTCTCGTGAAACAAGCGCAGAAATCGCCATTTTCTAAACAGTTCGCACTTCTCAATCAGTTCTTCGAGATAATTGGGCAGATTATGGATCGACTTCCTGAATTTTCATATTTCATTAAGCTTTCTGCCGATGCGCTTTTACTATCCTCGCGATATCACGCGGATACGTTCAGATTTTTCAAATTTCCCAAAAAGTGGGAGATTGCTACACCGTTAAGTGCAGTTGATTTTGCTATTCGTTTCTGCTGTAGCCTTGTCAAAGGACAACCGGGCTGGTCTGGTGCATGGAATGACTTGGGTGTCGCACTGCTGAGGAAATGCCAGCTAACGAAAAAGAACAGTCCTGGTTGCATGAAGTGAGTTGATTTCTGCTTTTCGTATGCTAAAATGAACAAGATTGCTGAATGTCGTGGAAATGACAGTGTTTTTAAGGCACCAACTGCTGTTGTGCTGGCCTGCATATGCACATCCGTTGACTGCAGCGTACATCACCATCCCCCAGCACAGTAGCTGTTTGATGAATGCCATCAACGATCCGCGGCCGCGCGAGAGAGCTAGCGCATTCTACAGTTGTAAAGAGTGAAAGTCGCGTTTGGTGTAAAACATCTTTATAAACTGGAAGTCGGGGTTGGAGCTAGGAAAAAAAAGGCAGCAGAAGGCAAATTCGAAAATTTCCATAAACATGGGTAAAGGGAGAGTGGGAGCAATCATGTTCAATAAATTTGCTTCGTAGAAGTCACTAAAGATAGTGTGTGGGCATACCCAACATGTCTTCTCTCTCCAATCACGAAGCTTCGATCTTTTAGCATCCCACAACGGTAATGCTTAACGGCTCCTTTTTCTTTTCCTCATCCCCGCAGAAAACTGTGATTTCGGTCTTTGTTTTTATTGTCTTTTGTTAGATTTGGATGTGGCAGTCTAGTTTGCAGCCGATTTTGTGCTAAGAATTTTTGCTATTTTTTAATTTTCATACACATTTTTTTTTTGGCTATTTTA